GCAATGTCCAATGTGCACTTTCACAGTTCACATGCAAGTTCTAAATTAGTACGTCTCATTAACACAGTTTTAATAGAAAATGATAACAATTTTACTTACCCACATGTACAGATTTCACATATACATTTCTTGACCATCCTGATTTGTTATCTTTCTGTTTTAACGCCTTTTCTTTAGCCCAGGGAGTTTGGTTACATAGACATAACAGGCGTTGTCAAGCACACGGGCACCTGTTTACAATATGGTGGATAGAAACCGATGAACCTTAACCAAAGGGGTTTCAGGTCACATATTCTCTATATATAACATCCAGATGTAATGAAAGCCATTGATATACAGTTGCTAAAAGAAAAGTTTCTTCATTACATTAAACTTTTGTATAAAATCTTGTACCTTTGGATATATTTAAAAGAGACAAAATGTCAATTTGCTCTCCAATCAATATTTAATGGAATCGTCCAACGTTTGTCAATAAAAAGCGGGATAACTGCGACAATATTTTTGTCAGATGTGGTTAGAAGATAAAGCACCTTATAACCCCCCCCCCCCCAAAAAAAAAATAAAATTCACGAAAAAATAAACTAAACAACGGGGGGGGGGCAGAAAGTTGGATTTCACACACTTCTGAAACAAATTCAATACAAAGATTTTTTTTCTAAAATTAGTAATCAACTGTCACAGGCACATGTGTGTTAATAACACTGTTATTACTAAGGTTAAAATTTATTTCCGAAACAAGTGTCCGTGTCAACTGTATACAAACTGATATGAAGAGAGATTTAATTTGTTTTGATAATCATGTATTTACTTTAATTAACTTTAAAGCATTGGAATTTATTCCTTGTAACAAAACATTCTTTGAGACCAAAACATTCAGATAATAATTCACATAATTAACTTGATATTCAATTATGCAATTTAATACACTTAAATTATTATATGATTGAATAATTTCCATCTCTCTGATTGGCTGAGATCCAACTATGTTAGAAAAATATTACGTTGTATTGACCTGCACGTGACGTTCCAGGTCAATACAGGGATTTATTTCCGCTACGTTGATCTAAAAATAGATTGGGGAATTCCAAATTGATACAAATTGTTTTAGAAAGCTATTTAAACGACTATGAATTTTATTTTCATGTGAACAAAACATAAGCGAATATATATTTTAGGTGAGGGTGGTAAGAGGGGATGCAGGGACCCCCCCTCCAACACATTTACTGAACAACATTTTTTTTTTTACTTTTCACTGCTAATACTCCTTCCTTTCAAAATCTATCCTATAAAAAGACTGACATTATTTTCATGGCTTTCATGGCTACTAAAATTAATTTTAAATTTTTTTTCAAATTGATACGACTGGTACGGTTTATTAACATTTTAATTCTGCTACTCTCTTGTATTTGGCTAGGACTTAATAAAATGCAAACAAGTAATGAGCTGTATCATTTTATCAGTGAATCATATAATAAAACAATTACTGCTGTTTTTTTTGTTCAATACAATGATTTAGCCTCTTCGAAGTACAATATTCACCTCGCCCTTCGGGCTCGGTGAATATTGTACTCCTCAGATGGCTAAATCATTGTATTGACCTCAAAAACCAGCAATAATTGTATAGTATTCAAGCCCGATAACAATTAAACCATATTCTAAATCACAAGTCCATTAAAAATACACATCAGGAGCAGAGTAAACACGGACCTCTCAAATATCAGAGATGGGATCAGGTGCCATGGAGAAGTGAGCATCCCCTCCCGACCGGTCACACCCGCCGTGTGCTCCTTGTCATGATCGGGAAATAACGATAAATCGTCGACAATTCAGTGTATAAATAATGACCTAACAATTAGTTTTAAAAACGCTGGTCAGCATTTGACTAAATGATAGATTTTATTTGCTGTTAAGGTCATTGTATCCCCATAAAACTAACGAAATTATGAATCTAAACGAGAGTGTTGATATTATTGTTTCATCAACTTGTTTGTAAATAATTTTTTAGAAATTGTTCATACGTATTGCGTAGAGCATGCTCTTGCATATATATGCAGTATAAAGGAGCTTGGTATTTTATTATTATTTTTTCTTTCTTCATTTTGTATTATTATTATTATATTATATGTAATGCTTATATTTCATTGTGAACTATGCTGTATATCAGTACTTCAAATCTGAGAACTTTTACAAGTGAGGATCAAGTCAACTTTGTTATAATCATGATTATATTGTTTGTTTCTTAATTGTATATGCCCCCAGAGGGCCCTTGATTGGTGAATAAATAAAGAAATAAATATACCGAATCAATTGAGAGACTTTAACGCCGTTTGCAGGTGATGAAGGTATATTTCAGCATAAGTAAGGGAAGTTGACGATTGAAAAGAGGTATCTTTCTTGATTAAGTACACAGAGGCGTGGCATAAAAATGGCAAGCGGTATATCTAGTCTTCCCGACTCCCGACGCCCGACTCCCGACGGTCCCGGATTTGGAAGTTTTAGCGATTTCTTTTTTACCGGTGCACAAATTTTATTCAAACTTTTCAGGCACATTTTCTGGGTTTATTTGAATTCATTAGTGCATAAAAACTTTAGGTTAATTGTCTTTTAATTACTGAACCAGATGTTTCACCTGCCAAAAAGCGGTAAATCTAGTACTCTGTTATAAATGTTAAAACCAAAAACGGACACCGATGTTTTCGTGGAATCGCGATTAAAAACAACAAAATGAATAATAATTTTTTCAACAAATAGGCGGAAAACCTCATTTAAATACCAGATAATTTGTACGCCTAAAAACACCCATATAATTTCTTTTTTTCGTGTATAAATCGTTCATTGCCACATTATGTTCACAGGATCTACGTACGACATTGACATATATACGTCGGAGCCCCCCCCTTTATTAATTAATTTATTTTTATTTGACTTTACTTTTTGCTGACTGATTTTAAGTTAACTCTAAATTCTACTTATCGTATGAAAACCTACACAATGACAAAAACGTTATCAGATTACCAGTAATATTTTAAGGACCATGGTTTGTCCCCGGTTACATGTTATGTTAACAAGTCATGGTTAATACTATAATAGCTTTGATTTAGAAGCAGTTTACAATACATAATTACTTTTTTTTTAATTTGACAGAATATCTCTCCACTTTCATTGTATCAGCCAGGTGATTAGGAAATTAATTATTTTACCCAAGCTAACACTGCTTTAATAATGCTTTTATAATAAGTGATTATCTTCTTCATTAACAGGTTTAAAAGGAACACGACTTTAACATGTTTAAAAGTCATTTTGATGTTGGAATCTATAAAATTAAATTGTTCATACTTTTCTAACACCTTCAATTTCACTAAAACACTAATTCTATCTTTTTTAAAAGAAGAAATATCTCCCCAAATAATATCAATATTATGATTTACGAAACCTCACGTCTCCGCTCATCGCTATGTATCGATAATTAATAAGCATAGCTCTTAATTAAAAAAATAAATAATGAAATATGTGAATTTCAGTGCGTACAAATTATCTAACATTTAAATGACGTTTTCCAGTTATTTGTTAAAAAAATATATTCTTCATTTTGTTGTTGTAATCGCGATTTTACGAAAACATCAGTGTCCGTTTTTGGTTTTAACATTTATAACAGAGTACTAGATTTACCGCTTTTTGGCAGGTGATACTGCTGATTCAGTAATAAAAAGACAAGTTTCCTAAAGTTTTTATGCACCAATGAATTTATATAAACCCAGAAAATGTGCCTTAAAAGTTTGAAACAATTCTGTGCACCGATAAAAAAGAAATCGCTAAAAATCCCAAATCCGGGACCGTCGGGAGTCGGGCGTCGGGAGTCGGGAAGACTAGATATACCGCTTGCCCATAAAAATAAGTATGAACCATGCACACTAAAACACACAGACTTGGTACATAAGTAGACCATACTAAGATCGATGTATCTTGTTTTAAATAAGTTCTAAATTGCTGTTGTGTTATTCTGTTTAACCCCTCCCCCCTACCCGTGGCCTTGGATTGTTTTGTGTCAATGGAAATTCTATTAACGTTATACGTTCCATTTTAATTTTTATCTAAATTCTTAATAAGCATTATAATTTCCATATCCTATCTATAAATAATTTTTGTATGAAAATTGTAAACATTTTATAATTTAGATCTTTTTAAACAGGAGAAAACAGAATGTCCCTGGTACGAAATAGTTAGAGGCCGAAATAACTTGTGCTCTTTTCAAGCCTCAAGGGAGAGCAATCGGAGAAAATTCTATTTATAAACATGTTTTGGTTCGCGACGGCATGTCTTGCCAACTGATGGAATGATGTGTGTAAGTACGAAAAGTAAATACATGTACTTGAAAAAAAGTTTATGACAAACATAACTTTTTTTTCTTGACTATGACTCGCATGTAACGAATAATAAAGATTAGAGAGTATACAGAGCCAAGTCGGCATGACATGAATGGATTATCATTAAGCCATATTAATCCGAAATTCCTCGTGATCTTTCCTCCCATTTCCACTTTTATAGTTTTGACCATGTGCGGGGGAAACCAGGCACATAATCAGAATATAAATGTGGGATTAGGATGGGGTGTGGAGGCCGAGGGGGATATCTTAGATAAGACATATGCACAGTTCATGCCAGTCACATATTTTTATACATTTAAAAAAACTATAATAAGCATGATAACGTTATACATCAGCTGCAGTCATAATAACCTATCAATTTATTTATCAACATCCTTCATGAAATGAAAAGTAAGAATTATATCTCATTTACATTAAATATGAATGCAAATTTTGTTGATGCAGATGTGAAAGAAGCAAACAGAAAACATGAAGAAAATGAAGAAAAAGAAGGGGGGAGTGCAAGAAGAACCCCCAGAGAGTGCTATACCCTCCCCTCCTCCTTCCCCTCCCCTAGAAATAGACAGCACCAGTAATATGAACATAATTCCGAAATTCCAGTCAGCACCAGCAGCCATGCCGGAGAAATTCCAGTCAGCACCAGCAGCCATCACCAAAACCAAGAAGAAAGTTGGTTTTAAAAATGTAGGGATGAGAATCATTGTTTTTTTGTCAAGTTTCTCTGTCTGTCCGGTTGTTTATAAAACTTTCCTAATGAATATGACCAATTAAGAAAATTTATTCTGATTCTTGCAAAGTAAATGCTAAGGTGGTTGTTAAATTGCTCAGATTGCTGAGTTTTGTTGTAGCAAGTCTATGTAGGCACCAGTACTACTGGAATCAGTGGCCTGTATTACAAAAGAACTTACCACTATTAGACAAAAAAAATTGAGCAGATTGTAAAATTTGTAAAATTAATGATTCCGTTTGAAATTTCTAGCATAAAGATATCTTTTAATTCCTTTTAAAAAGAATTAAAACAATTTTCAAATCAATGTAAAAATGAAAGTTAGGAGCAGAATAAAATTAGATTGAATTTATAATTCAATATTAATAAGATTAATTTTTTTATTTGATTTACATGTAGATTTCATTTTTTACTCTATGTACAGTGCACTAAGATTAGGATTGATTATATATACTACAAGCTTGTGGAGCTTTTTATATTTTCCTGATTTATTGAATTGCTCTGTTTAGAAATACTTCAAGTATTTATACTTGCTGTAGGTGAGTGAAGACAATTCTAAAGCAGTCAAGCCAATAGCACCCCCTCCACCCCCACCACCTGTGAAAGCACCCCAAAGCCAACAACGACCATTAATTACCACAGAGGATCTACTTTTAGCGAAGAGTAGGCTAAACAGGGAAAGCAAGCGACTCTCTAAAAGTAAGAAATTAATCAAATCACTTAGATGCACTTCTATAACTTTTTCTCATTGTTTAACTTTGATCAGTACAATTAAAAACATACATAATGAAATTCTTTGGTTAAAACTTTTAAAGATATAGCAAAGTCATATTTGTAACCAAGAAGTGTTAAGTACTATTTAATGAAAAAAAAGATAAAACAAATAAGGATAGGCTATAAAAGGCCGTCCCAAGATAATATTACTTAACTATCATGGTTTTAATGATTATATATATAGACAGATAAAGTTGTATATTTTCAATTTTCATTGTTTAAAGATAACACCAAATACAGATATTTTTTGTTAAAGTTAATCAATTCATAAATATAATTATATATAAATAAAGTTGGAAGTTCAGAGTTTGTTGTCTGTGAGAGTACTATGAGGCAGGTCTCTTTAACTGCTTCTGGTAATTTGTTTGCAGGAACAATAAGTCGTGCTGATATTTATGATAAATTCAAAGAAACAGACTTCATACCTCTTGACTTTACCATAGTAAGTTGAAATTTATATAAATATTCCTTTTGAAGTTTAAAACAATATATTCTTTTCTTCAATTTTTATTAGGAGACATAGTCTTAATGAATTTGATATTTTTTTGCTGCATACAAGAATTGATACAAAAGACGTGTCACAACTGCTATAAAATCCTTAAAAATTGAACATTTTCAACAAAACTTTATATTGAAGCCTCTGACCATTTGACTTTTACTTTTACTTTACTATTCAGATATACTTTATAAAATATTAGCATTATAAATAGAACTTTGGGTATCATCTATTGCTGCACAGAAAGAATGTACCAAGGCATTATCAGATTTCTCGTTGTCATCATTTTGAATCTGATTACATATTATGTAACATAAAGAGGTAATTGTGATCTTGTAGAGCAGTTTGTGGAAGGAGACACTGGACAGTCAGAGTATCATCACTCAGTTAAACCTCAGCGGGATAGAACAGCTGACGGACATGTTCTTTGACTTACTGGGAGTGAGGAAGGTTGATCTACCACATCTTACTTTACTGAACATCAATGGTAAGGACACATTCATATTATTACAGAGTAATAGTTATTACAGAGATACAGTACAAAACAAAAAAACTAACATACCATATCTTTCTTTACTGAACATCTACGGTAAGGACAGGAATTAAACACACATGATTCACATTATTACAAAGTTACAGTACAAAAACAAAAGATAAACGTACAACATCTTGCTTTACTTCACCTTGACTGGCCTGATATGATGCTGATTCACAAATATAAAAGCTTTTCATTATAATCTTACCAATCTTGCCACCATTAAATAAGGCCTTAAATTATAATCATTCTATTGTGTGCAATTATTTAAGTGGAATATCCCCTTCCTGTTCTTTTTGACTTGTTTATTTATCTGTTGAATTATTTAGGGTGCTGCAACCTCACAGATTTTGGGATTTACTGGATTGTGCAGAATTTACATGAGATTACAGCAGTAAGTAGAGATATGTGTAACACAGAAATTTCATCACACCATGAAGCAAAACCTCAAATACTGAACTTGTATAATATACCACAAAGCATAGAGTTAGATACTAAACTTGTGTAATACCACAAAGCAGAGAATCAAATATTGTACTTTTGCATGAATTACTAACATTCAAGTAATTGCTGTTCAGTCTTTTCATTCACTCATAACTCAACAAGTGAGATTATTGAACAAATGTGTTACTTTTATTTATTTCAAATATTAGATTTCAATGAAAGGCTGCACAGAAGTGACTGAGCGTTCTGTCCATTATATCACAGACGGAAAAATGAATTTACGAGACTGTCAGATGTCTTCTACTCAGTGTCGTGCAATTCCACTCAAGTTAGGTAATAGTTATCTGATGTCTTCTACTCAGTGTTGAGTAGTGAACAATACTCCAAAAATTATAACAATCCAAATAATTCAGATGTATTTTAACTAAATTATGTTGTTAACTTTCTTTTAATATTTAAACTTTGTATCTTTCATCTGACAAATAAACTTTGAATAATTTTAATATATATGAATTTTATGTTTTGCTTTGACAGAAAAATCTCTTGGACTCTTCAGCTTCAAGGCCTGTCCCCTGATATCTCCGTCGACAGAGACCTATGTTACCCACCCAATATCTGCTCTGGCTCAGGGATACTCTTCCAGTCAATGTAAGTATTCTATCCATTCAGGTATATTCCTCCAGTCAATGTAAGCATTTTATCCACTCAGGGATACTCCTCTAGTCTAAGTAAGCATTCTATTCACTCAGGGATACTCCTCCAGTCAAAATAAGCATTCTATCCACTCAGGGATATTTCTCCAGTCCATGTAAGCATTCTATCCAGTCAGGGATATTCCACTAGTCTAAGTAAGCATTCTATCCACTCAGGGATATTTCTCCAGTCAATGTAAGCATTCTATCCAGTCAGGGATACTCCACTAGTCTAAGTAAGCATTCTATCCACTTAGGGATACTCCTCTAGTCTAAGTAAGCATTCTATCCACTCAGGGATATTTCTCCAGTCAATGTAAGCATTCTATTCACTCAGGGATATTTCTCCAGTCAATGTAAGCATTCTATCCAGTCAGGGATACTCCACCAGTCAATGTAAGTATTCTATCCACTCAGGGATACTCCTCGAGTCCATGTAAGTATTCTATCCACTCAGGGATACTCCTCCAGTCTAAGTAAGTATTCTATTCACTCAGGGATATTTCTCCAGTCTAAATAAGTATTCTGTCCAGTCAGGGATACTCCACCAGTCAATGTAAGAATTCTATCCACACAGGGATTCTCCCCCAGTCAATGTAAGCATTCTATCCACTCAGGAATACTCCTCTAGTCCATGTAAGCATTCTATCCACTCAGGGATACTCCTCTAGTCTAAGTAAGTATTCTATCCACTCAGGGATACTCCTCCAGTCAAAGTAAGTATTCTATCCACTCAGGGATACTCCTCCAGTCAATGTAAGCATTCTATCCACTCAGGGATACTCCTCCAGTCAATGTAAGCATTCTATCCACTCAGGGATACTCCTCCAGTCAAAGTAAGTATTCTATCCACTCAGGGATTCTCCTCTAGTCAAAGTAAGCATTCTATCCACTCAGGGATACTCCTCTAGTCTAAATAAGCATTGTATCCACTCAGGATTCTCCTCCAGTCAATGTAAGTATTCTATCCACTCAGGGATACTCCTCTAGTCCATGTAAGTATTCTATCCACTCAGGGATTCTCCTCTAGTCAAAGTAAGTATTCTATCCACTCAGGGATACTCCTCCAGTCAATGTAAGTATTCTATCCACTCAGGGATACTCCACCAGTCAATGTTAGTATTCTATCCACACAGGGATTCTCCTCCAGTCAAAGTAAGTACTCTATCCACTCAGGGATACTCCTCCAGTCAAAGTAAGTATTCTATCCACTCAGGAATACTCCTCTAGTCTAAGTAAGCATTCTATCCACTCAGGAATACTCCTCTAGTCCATGTAAGCATTTTATCCACTCAGGGATATTCCTCTAGTCTAAATAAGCATTCTATCCATTCAGGGATACTCCTCCAGTCAAGGGAAGCATTCTGTCCAGGCAGAGATACTTCTTTATTGTACACATGAAACATCTCATAATTTTCCAACCATGTAGTACATTTAAAATCAGCAAATTAAAACAAGGAATCGTGAAATACGTTAAACAGCTTTTGAATGAAGTGAAATTTTTGTTCTTTTTTTCTTTTCGTTCTACATGTAATTGTAAGTGGTTGGAATCAACATGACTGGAGTTGAAAGGCCCACCTATGTATATTTAAAATGCAGATAAATTGTTTGCAATATTGCAGTGGAATGGCAAAAGAGACACACCCCTTATATATTATATTTTCTTTCTTTTCAGTGGATCAAACAGGAAATGATTGGATAAATCTGGATAAATACAAGGTGGTCATCCTGAATGAGGGAGAAAATACTAGTCTAGGGGAAAGAATAACAAACAAACCAAGCTCAGGAAAAGGGGTTCAAACCTGGCTGGATTGGAAACCCAAGGCTGACTCCTCTGTCACCATCAATCTGATAGAAATAGACAGAAAATCAGTAAGTAAATCTATAAGGTCAAGTAGTCAGTAGCCTTCAGTCTGATAGAAATAGACAGAAAATCAGTAAGGTCAAATAGTCCAAAGTCAAGTACTTAGGAGCCATCAATCTGATAGAAATAGACAGGAAATCAGTAAGGTCAAGTAGTCAGTAGCCATCAATCTGATATAGTTAGATATGGTTTGTCTTAACCACAACTTGTATATTATCCAACAAAGGAGACAATTTGAATATCTATAGACACAAAAAGGAATGATGTAGTGACATTACTGGCATTAAAATGGTCACACAACTTTTAGTGTTAAAGGATATTTGCCACCAAAGTTAATATATTGAAGATATCTTTTTTTGTGTGTAAACCAAACTTCTTTAAATATTTCAGAACTTTGAGGGACTGGTCATGAGCAATGGAAGTGTGGTTATTCTTCCGTTTTCTGACAAGTCACCATCGTATATCCAGAAAATTGCCGGCACGATCCTGTCCATCGTTAGTCAGGTACATCACTAATGATTACAGTAACAGTGCCACTGTTAGGGGGAGTACAGATACCTGTTCAGTTTTAATTTAGATGCACCTCTTCAAACTACATGTGACATTTAGAACATCCAGACTCTGATGTCACATAGCATCTTATGTTAGTTGCATTGCCAATATGTTCGAAAAATACAAGTTTGAACAAAAAACTTTTTATTACTGTTCATTTGCAGTGTCCATTGAATCAAGGTGAGTTATATATTTTGGTGAGATTTTGTTTTTATCATGGGTACAAAGATTGTGGCAAGATTCAATTTGCAAAGTTTTGTGGACCCTGAGGTTACTGTAGAAATAAATTCATTTGGATTAATGAACAAAGTCTGAATTTTCTCTTCATCCAAGTGTTGTTTTTATAGCTCATAGTGCAAGTGACACATTGTACCCCCCCCCCCCCCCCCCTCACTTTTACTGCAGTGTCTATGTACAAGTTGTCAGTTGATGCTTAACTACATTAAATTTTTTAGTCATTCCTAAATTTAACTTTTCACTTATAAAATAAAGACACATGTTTTATGATTAGCTCTTTGTTGAATGTTGTCTCTTTAATTTAGTACCCAGAGACAGGTTTTTTGATTTGCAATCCTGAATATGATGCAACACCTGCTACAGAACATAAATTGAAGGACATTATACACAGGGTCAAGGACACATTGACCGTTGCTATGGAGAGTCTTGCTGAAGAACTGAATAAAGAGTAAGTAACAATGACTTTCTTGTTTGGTTAATGTTGATGAACAGTTATTTCTCTGTACTAATCAAGCAATTTCAATGAAGGACTCTGTTAGTATCAAAATGAAAAAAAAAGTTCAGTCTGCATGTTCTTTTGTTATTTATATGCAAAACATCCAAAAGGAAAGGAAATTTGATTTCATTATAACACTCTTTCATTAATTATGAGGAGATTAAAGAGGATTCACACATATTATCATTAGCATATATTATAGATGGGTATCCCCAAAGAACTTTTTTATCACAATATATCACAATTTTTTCCAAATTACCACATTAAGGAGGCTGGGGGAGCTCTCTTTATCTCTTTATCTTAGTTCCTTGGAAGTTTTTTCTCACTTCCATCAACTTTGAATTTACAAAACTTAAAAGCAGGGGTATGTTGTGTTGAAAATGTCCATCTATATGTCCATTACACTTAGAATTAACCATATTATCTGCAACTCCTATGCTACTCTAAAAAAATAATAAAACTTACAGATCTTTATTACATAGTGACGTTGTGCATGTCTGTTTTATGTTCTGTTCAGATAGTTATTTGAAGTTTTCCATAGCAAAACATAGACTTGCCATTTTAATTATTTATATGTAAACTGCAAAATAACCACCAATTTGCCTAATTAGTAAATTGCTTTCTACATTTTTTTTAGAATCAAGGATAAATGGAGGTTGAACGAATTTAGATTTCATGATCAGATTGTGTATACAGCGGGCAGGAAGTTAATTCACCATATGGAAAAAATCATCGCCAGGAAAAACAAAAAAGATGATTCTACCCAGCTTCTTCAGTATATGTTATTGGTTAGTAAATGTCACACTTAGGAAAGTCTTTATTTCTGACCAAAGTGACTTATAAAAGTGGTTTAAGTAAAATTCAAATTGAATCCAAGATACTTAAACTGAAAATATTAAATGATACTTCTTTCTTGTTACCAAGTAAACAAAAAATGAAATCCTATGCCTTATGATTTAATTACAGAAAGAAATGTTAGTAGAAGTTATATACATGTATTTTCCACAGACGACTTTCTTTGCCCCTTAGTGAATTCATTTGATGAAGGTTCATAGACTGACTAAAAATAATTTGTTTTTTATGCATGTTTACAAACAATATTTATGTATATGTTTAAGAAACTTCATCTTGTATAGCTATGTAGAGAATCTGTAGGAAAATGGTCCAAATGTAGAAACAGGTTTTTAAAGTTTAGAGAAAATATTCAAAATTGACACATTTACTTCTTCACCTTTAACTTAAAAGAAGAAAAAGATTTCCTTTGTATTTCAGTTGTGTTTTTATTATTTAAGGGTAAGGAGGACCAATGCTTTGATGCCATAGACAATCTGATATTGGATCTACAGGACCATTACCCCTGGCACACCTTCCATTACTTTGCCACAATCAGGAAGCTGATTGAGCTCAAGTATAAGCCTGACAAATTCAAAGGGAACTTAGGCTATCTGAAACAGCTGATAAAAGCTGTGGATGAACCTCCCCTGTCCAACCTTAACATGAAGGACCCGTACAAGGAGATGATCCAAATCCTCAGTCTCAGGCATGAACGGGTGAGGTCATCATAACGTAGTGAGATCATGGTCATTTAGCGAGATCATTGTAACTGAGTGAGATTGTTGTAACACTCAATGAGAGCATTGTAACTTAGTGAGATCCTCGTAATTTGGTGAGCTCATTGTAACTTAGTGAGATTATAGTTGTAACTTGGTGAGATCATTGTAACTTAGTGAGATTATAGTTGTAACTTGGTGAGATCATTGTAACTTAGTGAGATTATAGTTGTAACTTGGTGAGTTCCTTGTAACTTAGTGAGATCATTGTAACTTGGTGAGATCATTGTAACTTAGCGAGATTATAGTCGTAACTTGGTGAGATCATTGCATAATTGTTGTAATTTGATGAGATTATTGTGAATTAGTGAAGTTTTAATTAAGTTGTTGCAGCTAGGTGATATCATTTTGTAAATGTATGAGATCAGTGGTGTACATTGTTGAGATAATTGTTTGTATTTATGAGCTGTGATCTCCTTTCCTATTATATCTGCATTTTCTGTGCAAATTCTATTTTAGGAAACATGCTTAGCTTTATAAAATAAAAAATTAAAATAACATTCTATTAATCTAAACCAGAATTCTTTTCAAAGTGATGATCTTACTGTATCTCAAATTCAATAAATCTTAAAGATTTATACCTTTCTACAAATTTTATGTTCAAGGTTTAACTGTTTGACAAAAATTAATCCAATGGGGTGGGGAATATAATAAATTGCATTGTTTTTTGCTGCAGGGTATGGGAACATTGTACCCAGACATCCGAGGTTATCCCTCCATGACCAGCTTCGCGGTACTGGAGACGCTCGTGACGGGAATCATGGAGTCGCCTCCCGATAAAAAGGGGTTCATCAAGGGACTAGGAATAGCTGTACCCTGCTACAGGAAGGAGGACTTCACTGTTATATTTGGCCAGTCCATGAATGTAAGGAGCAGTTCAAAAACTCAAGTTGTTTACAGTTGTGTCTATCACCAGAAAAGTGAATCATTATTTTGACTAATTTTGAAGGATTTTCAGTGAAAAGTGGGGATGGGTATCAGCAAAAATTTCGTATCGTGATATATTGTGATTTTTTTTCCCAAGAACTACCGGTATAATTCCGTGTATATTTCTCCTGAATTATTTTTGTTTCAGGTAACGATGAAGGGGATAGAACTTGATCTCAAGGTAACTATTCTAAGTCTGTGGTTAAAGTTCAGTTGTACTGTTTTGTTGTAGATGAGACCCAGAAAAATGGAAGATGGCGATCATTTTGACCAGGTAACATTTAACAGCCTTAACTTTTACACATGCCTAGTATGGTATAAATCAGGTACAGTATAAATCTTACACATGCCTGGTATGGTATAAAATCAGGTACAGATAGAAGCCTTAAATCTTTCACATGCCTGGTATGGTATAAATCAGGTGCAGTTTAAATCTTACACATGCCTGGTATGGTATAAAATCAGGTACAGATAGAAGCCTTAAATCTTTCACATGCCTGGTATTTTATAAATCAGGTGCAGTTTAAATCTGACACATGCCTGGTATGGTATAAAATCAGGTACAGATAGAAGCCTTAAATCTTTCACATGCCTGGTATGGTATAAATCAGGTGCAGTTTAAATCTTACACATGCCTGGTATGGTATAAAATCAGGTACAGATAGAAGCCTTAAATCTTTCACATGCCTGGTATGGTATAAATCAGGTGCAGTTTAAATCTTACACAAGCCTAGTATGGTATAAAATCAGGTACAGAAAGAAGCCTTAACTTTAACACATGCCTGGTATGGTATAAATCAGGTACAGTATAAATCTTACACATGCCTGGTATGGTATAAATCAGGTATAGTTAGAAGCCTTAAATTTTACACATGCCTTAGATATAGTAAGAAATCTCAAATATTACACATGCCTGGTATGGTATAAATCAGGTACAGTTAGAAGCCTTAAATTTTACACATGCCTGGTATGATATAAATCAGGTACAGTTTAAATCTTACACATTCCTGGTATGGTATCAATCAGGTACAGTCAAAAATCTCAAATTTTACACATGCCTAGTATGGTATAACAGTTAGAAGCCTTAAATATAGCAACATAAAACTTAACAGATCAATTGTATAATATTTATCCATAAAACAAAACATTATAAGAAGGGACTTTTTAACGCGCAAGAAAAATAACATCATGTTTCTGTGTACTATGTCATCAGTTTCAGAGAGTGGTGATATGGATTCAGAAAACCACAGTGTGGTGATCTGGAAAATCGGATCTTAACGTCATGTGATTGTGTAAAATCTACAGTAAAATTGAGTGATATACATTATGTATATACATGTAATAAAAACCAGGTACAGTTATAGAAAACCTTAAATCTTAAACATTCCTAGTATGGCATAAATCAGGTACAGTTAGAAACCTTAAATTTTGATTTTTTATTTAACTTTATGTAACTTAATGGCTGGACTAACTTTCTCATCAACTTCATTGAGATTGACTTGTGATTTTTTTTCCATGGTAGTAATTCTGTGGAAAAGCAATTTCTGTTCAATCTACTGATAGAAAATTACTGCTTAATATACTTTAAGTATGTGAACAAATTATGACCATGCACGTAGCATTAATTAATACCACATTGGAAATTGCTTCCACAGTATTTGTTTGTTAAATAAATTATTTTGTATCTTTCGGTAAAATTTTTACTTCAGTTGTTTAGTTTTCATATTTCAGTAAATTACACTTTCATATGTCTCGCAAAATTATTTTTTTTTAGGTTGAATTACTACTGGACATTCTTGAGAACTCTGGCTGTTTAATGAAGTTTCCCTGTGACCTGAAGGGGCCGGGGTATGAGGACACGCTGGCCTACGTTCTCTTCAGAGACATTCCTGATCAGCCTCCAGTATCTCTTGTATGTATACTCAACCCAGTTTATCTTCTGATAGTATGTAAGTCCTCACATTAACCAGTTTGTTCTGCTAAGTTTTTCTTTTGATAGTATGTATGTCCTCATATTTACTGGTATGCTTAGCTGAGTTTCTCCTCTGAAAGTAAAAGTCCCAACATTTACTGCATGTTCAGCTGAGTTTATTTTTGGACAGTGTGTAAGTCCACACTTTATTGTATCAGTTACAGCTTGTCAGATGCACTAGCTCATTAAGGGTCTTAAGTTTCTTAAAATAGATTTAAAAATGATAGTAAATTGAACTGAATGCTTTAGAAAAGCACAACTTTCTGTATAAAAACCCAACCTCATATTCATCCCCCCCCCCCCAAAAAAAAACAAAACAAAACCAAACAAACCATGCCATGATTGGAAAACTGCAATAATATTGAAATGCATTCAAACTGAAACATTCTACACATGCACTTTTTATTGATTCTTTAGTGTCATTAAAAAGCTGCCCTAGAAACAGAGGGTGTAATGGCTGATGATGATAATGTTAATAAGAAAATACAATGTATACTGCAGTGTGTTTACCAGTACAAATTGAGCAGTTAGTGAATTATCATTTGTCTTAATTAGGTTGAATACTGGCCAGAGGAGGTTCCCAAGACTGAGAGGCAGGCTCAGAAGTTTTACAGATTCCCGGCCTTGCCCCCCAACTTCATGTCCACTCTCCTCAGGTAAGCAGACAACTTCATGTTCACTCTCCTCAGGTAAGTAGACAACTTCATGTCCATTCTCCTGTCCACTCTCCTCAGGTAAGCAGACAACTTCATGTCCACTCTCCTCAGGTAAGCAGACAACTTCATGTCCACTGTCCTCAGGTAAGCAGACAACTTCATGTCCACTCTCCTCAAGTAAGCAGATAACTTCATGTCCATTCTCCTGTCCACTCTGCTCAGGTAAGCAGACAACTTCATGTCCACTCTGCTCAGGTAAGCAGACAACTTCATGTCCACTCTCCTCAGGTAAGCAGATAACTTCATGTCCACTCTGCTCAGGTAAGCAGACAACTTCATGTCCACTCTCCTCAGGTAAGCAGACAACTTCATGTCCACTCTACTCAGGTAAGCAGACAACTTCATGTCCACTCTCCTCAGGTAAGCAGACAACTTCATGTCCACTCTCCTCAGGTAAGCAGACAACTTCATGTCCACTCTCCTCAGGTAAGCAGACAACTACATGTCCACTCTCCTCAGTTAAGCAGACAACTTCATATCCACTCTCCTCAGGTAAGCAGAAAAGGTGAAGGTAACTAACAGCATGCATCAATTAAACTCTGTCATAGGTACCTGAATTTTCTAGTGTAAAGAAATTACAGCATATATTTTGAGTCTGATTTTTTAAACAAAGTTCTGTCTATTGAAAGGGTATGAATGAAATAAAACTATTTTTTTCTGTGAGTAAAGGGGAATTCATCCTTTAGATTATAGGGATCAAAGGCATTTTACATTAGGAAAGATAAGCTTATAGAAATGAATGAAAAAGAAACATTTTAATGTCTTTCTAGGGAATTCTCTCACCTACTGCAGTTTACAGTGCTGTGGAAGGGAGGCTTTATTTGTCAGCAGGGCCCTGTTTATCACCTGTTAGAACTTCTAGACACAGATGGTAGGTATATGGAGATAATATGATTGATTGATTGAATGTTGTTTAACATCCCTCTTGAGAATTTTTCACTCATATGGAGATGCCACCACTTGCTGGTGGAGAGCTACAAGTTTTGCCCTATACTTGGCACTCAGGGCCATTGACCAGGGAGGGATCTTTTTCATGCCAGCACCTACTGTGTCACGAGACCTTGGTTTATACGGTCTCATCTGAAGGACTGGTCTCCATGTCCCACAGTGGGATTCAAACCCGAGATGTAAGGATTAACTCCTTACTTTGTGACTCTACAGCAGACACTCTATCCACTGCGCAATGCAGGCGACTGAAGATAGTATGAAATGTGTCACTTTTACACATGGATCAGTCATTGTCCTGTTTATTGTAGTCTCAGCTACTGGCATTGTGTCTTAAACTTAGCACTATTGTAGCACTTAATAGTAGCACTGATGGGTGTTGGGTAGAGTTCCAACAGCAGTCACAGTCAGCACTGACAGTAAAGGGATTAATGAATGCATGTGAGCTTCAACATTAGTGACAGTAAAATGTGTTTAAATTATCTAATTGTATAGTTTAGGTTAAAAAAGTTTTTTTAAGAAACAAAAGTTCACACTTGCAGAAAGGTTAGATATATCCAGAGGATGTTATAATTCTGATGATAGTCGTTTTCACAAGATAAACTTCACAGAATTTCAAAATTGAAGAATCTTGTTGTTTAGCTCAAAGGTTGCTTCTGACCAGAGAGTATTTCACGACCTAGATCCAAGGTCATCTGGCCATTACTGTCAGTTAGTTATATTGAATCATTTTTTAGGTGGCTCTACCATTATAGTCATATAATAAGTCATGAATATGATTCTTTTTAAGGTTGCTTAACCATTTCTGACAATTAATGATGTATAAATGAAAATCTGTATTTAAGGTGGCTCTACCATTGTTGTCAGTGATACCTAAATGTCAATCTGTTTTTAAGGTGGCTCTACCATTGTTGTCAGTAGTCGGGTACAGAACCCTAACATCATCAGTAAGGCAGCATTCAAGGGAGACAATGATGGATTAGAAAGCATGCTTTGGAATGGCTTCAAACAGATCTGTTCCATCCTTGATGCCCATATTCAGAAGAACAGAATCTATGTGCAGGTAATATCAGGGATATTTTGTTGGTTCAGGAGCAGTATGGGGATAAAACATTTGGTGGTTAAAGAAAATGATGCCAGAATAGATGGGTGAATTCTTTTTGCTGCAATCTGTTGTTCACTTTTAAAAAAAATATATAAATTTTGTAAGCACAGACGATATAAAATCAATTTCATCACATCAGTGCCAACTTTTTGATATTGATATCCCATCATATACTGTGTACAGTAAAACTCATTTAGTACGAACATGGGTATTACGAATTCACAGATATAGTGAAGTCATCTTAGATCCCCAGCTATATAAATTTAACGAATTCCTTACAGGGATATAACGAATTACGGATATAGCAAAGTAATATCATAGGTCCCACTGACTTAGTTATATCCAAGTTTTACTGTACAGGGTTATTTTTGTTCCATCTTATTTTACCTTTTACACATGCAAACGAGTGTGCCCCATTTTGAATTTGCCCATTGGCAAACACAGTTCTGATTAAGAGATAATGCCATTTTATTTGAATTCGCCCCATTTGAAATTTGCCCATGCAAATGTGACAAGTGCGAAAGGGGCAAAAATAAAACAGGAGCAAAATTTCCCTGTGTACAGTATAGCAGTTTTACTATCAATTCTTTATTTGAAAATTGATCTTAAAATAAAAAAAAATATTCATAAATCTATAATCTGGAGGAAAATATAGAAATTGAGTAGATACTGTTACATAAATTAAAATTTAAAATCTAAAATATATTCTTTAGTCATTTACATGAGATATTGCCACTTTGCGAGTTGTTCATGACTATTTCTCTATGTAGGTTTGATTACTAAGAGCACATTCAACTCTCAGAGTTCCAAACAGTGTGTGACTTGTTTGTACTTGTAGAGATACTATACATGCCATCACTGTGTGCCCTCTGGCAGTAGGTATCAGGCTGCTGACTCGGAGAAGTTTACTCACTTCTCAGAATTAAAGATTCTAGGAGGACATGATCGTGGACTTCACTGTAAAAAGATTGGAAATAAGGAGGCAGAGGAGGAAACCCAAGTGTCTTTGATAAACTACTTTGGTCCTGGTAAGTCTCTGCAGTACTACTTTGGCCCTGGTAAGTCTCTGCGGCACTACTTTGGTCCTGGTAAGTCTCTGGGGCACTACTTTGGTCCTCGTTAGGAGGGTGTCTGCAGCACTACTTTGGAACTTTTGCTCTGCTTAGGAATTGTCTTTGCGGCACTACTGGTAAGTCTCTGAGGCACTATTTTGGCCCTTTTTTAGGAGAATCTCTGAGGCTTTACTTTGGCCTTGGTAAATCTCTGAGGCGTAACTTTGGCCCTGGTTAGGAGAGTCTCTGAGGCTTAACTTTGGCCCTGGTTAGGAGTGTCTCTGAGTCTTTACTTTGGCCCTGTTTAGTAAGGAAAAACTGTCTCTTATAGAATATGTTAGTATTGGTTAGTATTGTCTCCGATGGACCCTTTTGGACCTAGTAAGAAGTGTCTTTGATAGAATAGTTTGGCTCTGGTAAGAAATGTCTATGAGGCACTACTTTAACCCTAATAAGAAGTGTCGTTGATGGAATAGTTTTACTCTGGTATGAAGTATATGACAGATACTTTGTGTGTTTTAAAATGTATCTCTGATGAATTACTTTGTCCTTGGTAAGAAGTGTCTGATATTTTTTAGCCCTGAAAAGAAATTTCTCTGATTGACTATTTTGTTATTGGTAAGAAGAATATCTGAGGCACTATTTAGGCCCTGGTAAATCCACTGCAGCTATCACTCAGTCTGTATTACTGTTTTGCTTTGTAGGACTTCAGTTCTTTTGAAATTCAAAAAATATACCTATACACGAAGTTACAACTTATTTGAAGGTATACATCATATTTAATCATGACATCCATGAAATTATGTCTGCACTTAGTAGATATTTACAGCAAAACATGATATTGCTCTCACAAATTAAGCTTACACAGTATTTTAATGAGCTACATGAGATATTGTCATGAAAAAGTTTAGCTGAGGTCAAGGCTGTGTGAGAAGAAGGTCAAAGTTGGTCAATATTGTAGGGTCAGAAGGTCAGTACAAGTTTCCTTTACATTCTGATGTACTTTATTGTAAACATGTGGTATAACCTTCATGTTTTTATAGATTTTCAGAGAAAAGATACAAGACATTTACCTAATCACAGCTGTTTTGATGTTGAATATGAAAAGATGATAGAAGACACAGTGGCAACTCGATCCAATTATACTCGCTGTTTTATGTGTGGTAACTGCTCACGAGAAAATCTCCAGTGCTATGCAAATGTTGAAAGTGGCAAAACAGTTCGGTAAGAGCATCAATATTAAGCATTGAATTCTTATTTTTAGGTCACCTGATTCACTAGGGTGACCTACTGCTATCTGCTTATGTCCGTCCTATAAACAAGGGGTTAGAATTGGTCATTACCATACCTTTTCTTTTAGAGAAGAACTGTGTTTTTAATGGACTTTTGCGAGAAGCACTGGCTTTTATAGTTGATGGTTTACTTTGACATTTAAACTTGTATCATGTGCAGAGGTACAGAATTGATAATAGAAAACCTTTCTAGTGATCATAGGCATGTTGTTAGAGTCACTAACATGTGAAGGCTGGGGGTTGAGAGTACAGTGGTTGTCTTCTTCATGGGCAAAAGTTTGTTCTCATTTGTGCTTTATAGTAGCCCATTATTTTCATTGAATTAAATGTTGAGCTTAATATTTATATCGAAGAAGAGTTTCCATACATTGTCCTTGTGTAGAAGTAAGCCGCCAACTATAAAAGTCAGTGCTCCCTGTAAAAGTCCAGTAGCATCAAAACTGTTAATTTAACAGGTTATTTTAGAAACCCTCCAAATTTAGCAGTTTTTAAGTCCTATATGTGGGAACTTATTCTTACCTTAATTTATTAATATGTTGACGGTGTGACCGTTATGGCAAGCACAGATATTTCTTTTGTTAAAATTTAGATCGGACTCATCAAGCCGCATGTGCCATTTGATGCGTCTAGACTCTGATGTCACATGACGTCGTATGTAAGTTACATTACCAAAAAGAAGCCTGAACAGTGCTGAAAGTAAATGTAGAACGTTTCATTTACTATTTATCTTCAATATCTATCCATTAAATCAAGGCATGTTAACTTTTAGTTGAACTTTTACTGCTATTTTCATGAGAACGTAGCTTTAAAAGCGAGTTTGTGAGGAAAAAAATGATAACTCTTCATTTTTTTATGATGGCAATACATTGTATTTTGAATGATTAACTTCATTTATTTAATACTGTTGAAAAGCCCATTGTTAGTAATATTGTATACAGGGTTATTTTCGCCCTTTAACATTTAGAAACAAGTTTGCCCCGCTTTAAATTCGACTATAAAGATTTTTATTTTAAGATATTATACTGTTTACGTAGAATTCACCCCATTTAAAATTCACCCACTTCCAAAGAGGGCGAAAGGGGCAAAAATAAAACAGGGGCGAAAATTTCCCTGTATACAGTACCAAGATTAGATGGTAACTAAACATTTCCTTTTATACAGTTAATTTACGTTATGTTTTCAGGCATTGTGGGTGTCTAATAGCAGGATTCCTCTGTAAATATTGCGGAGTTTGTAGATTTTGTGTTCAGAGATTAGCGGTAAGTCTGACTTCAAACAAGCTGACAGTTTATGACTTGTTTTGTATTAATATGTAATGATAGCCATTGAATTTGAGCATTGCATGTTCACATGTTTAACATTGAAATGTGAAGTATGATATTTGAATATCTTATGCATTTTATTCTACTTTTTCTCAGAGAGCCCATTGTGTTATACATCCACAGTTTCAGTCGGAATCGTTAATTTCTTCGATGGGTGAAACTGATCTATCGCAGAATGGCAATTTTGTGTTCTTTTCATCGAACTCGGAGTACAAGTTTTCCCAGCCTCTGTCTATAGAGTACTTCAGCCACCTGAGGGCGTGCATGCATCGCGGACATTTCATCCTCAATGTTACATCGTAAATACATTCAGTATTTTCCTGTATACAGTCAAACATTGTTATCTCAAACTCAGATAGGCTGGAAAAATACCTCAAGATATCCAAGGATTTGAGATACTGTTGATCACCAAATTTTCATGAGACTTTATTTTTCAAGATAGGTTTTTTGGTATATATAAGTGGGACAAAATTTTCATTCTGTTTAGTAGTTTCATAAGCTATGCTAATTAAAATTATATGCTATAACAAAATTTTCATGAGCAAACAGTGTTGTGTTATTGCACAAATATAAAGTTCTTGGAAATAAAAAGTGATTTATTTTATCTAGGGAAAAATACATAAGGAATTATTGGTTGGGACTTCAAAATCCTCGTTTTATATACAGTTATCAGGCTATCTGGGGTTGAGAAACTGAAGTTCAACTGTATCTTCTATTAAATTATATCATTATATTTTTCCAAGTACATACTGTAAGTACAGATTAGCTGTTCTGCTCTTTAATCCTGTGCATGATTCCTATTTTTACATGTATACTATAGGCCGTCATGTCGGGTGCAGGTTTCATGTCACGAGAAGTTCATCAAGCAGACCCAGATCACACCATTCAAGGAAACAGAGAAAATTTTACATGTTCTGGCCCCCTACCATAATGGAGTTGTCTATGATATATTCTTTGACATAAACAAGGTAGGCATTCCCTGAATTGTCTTTGTCATATGGGATATATTATATGTTCTATGTGATGATGGGATAATATCAATTCCATATGCAGTGTGTACTGAAAAGAGTTCCAGTTTGCTGTGATGCATGTTATGGTTTTAAAGTTCTGATTAGCTAAGGCTATTCCAGAAAACTTATATCAAAGGAATGGAACATTGCATATATACTCACCATCAATGAAAACGCAACACTCTAATTTTAGGGTGAAAAATTATATACGGGATATAACTATGTACCAAACAAGTTAGGACATCTTTCACTTTGCCAAATCAGTTCTTTAATGGTTGAATGGTTTTCACTCCATTACCGAAAGTTGATTTTTTAGCCCTCTTAACAGATAACATTTAAATAAAACACCCCCCTTCCGACCATTTAATCAAAACATGCTAGTCCGCCATGTACAACATACATGTACATGTACGCAGTCCGATTTCTACCATGCATTAGGTTTATCAATGTCTTTATCTGAGCGAAATAAATATTCTTGGGCATTTTCAATTGCCTGTTGTTCAGATACTGCGGTCGAATTTTCTCTAACTTGGCGTAGTGTAGTAACTCTTGCACTTCCGGTCAAGAAACTGTTATTTATGCTATTGAAATACATGAGCGTGATGAGTCGTTAAATAGTGTACATTTGCATCTGCAGCTCTTTTTTTCTTTATTTTGAGAATCTCCAGCATTAGCAATGAAAATCAGTCATTTTGAGGAAATATAGGCATCACATCCGGTAAAGAAAGAAGGATATTTTCCCGGGATTTTAGTACAATACTTATGATAAACAGCTACAAAATCTTGAAAACCCAAAATATTGTTAAAAATTTATTAAAAATGCAAAAATTTGATTTCTGTTAAGAGGGCTAAAAAGCAACTTCCGGTAGTGGAAAGAAATTCATTTAACCGTTAAATAACTAATTTGGCAAAGTAAAAGATGTCCTAACTTTTTTGATACATAGTTATAACCCGTATATACTTTCACTCTAGAATTAGAGTGTTGCGTTTTCATTGACGGTGAGTATATTTATAACCTACTCCAAAAAATGAGTGCAAGTCTGAAGTTTTAGTCAGTTCCCTACACTATATAAACCCTGATAGTACCGGGTAAATGTTTTTCACCCATGCTGTAGATAATGACAAATTAAGGAATTAGTCACTTTAAAAGCTGAATGCTGCACTACAATTTCAGAGTGACCTGTGTGGACAGTTTTTGAGGATAGTACAGAATAAGAAAACAGTGTTAGATCTGGCTGTATCAGACAGGAATATGTTTGTCAGCATCAGCTGTGTTCACCCAGGGAGTGTCTCGCTGTCCTCCAATCATATGATAGTAAGTATTGCTACATACATGTCAGTAAATAGGCTTATCCAATCAAATAACAGTAAGTGGCCTTATCCAGTCACACATTGGCAAGTACTGAACTGAATTTATTAATCTCTTCACAATTTTACAATTGTATAACGAGATATAAATGTAAACTACAATGATGACAAATAAAAACACTTATATGGCATGCGTGAGTATGAGGATAGACAAATAGTACAATTATAGATTTAGGTCTTTACTAGTTTGGGGAGCATGTTTTAGTAATTTTTAGCTCTACTGGTCAGAGACCAGAAGAGCTTATGCGATAGTAATGCGTCCGGCGTCCGTCCGTCTGTCTGTCTGTCTGTCTGTCTGTCCGTCTGTCTGTCCGTCTGTCTGTAAACAATTTTTCAAAACACTACTCCTCCTACAATTTTAGTCTGATTTCAATATAACTTGGAACACAAGTAGACTACACTAAGATACATAGAATAGTGCATCGGTTTTTAATTTCGATGAACGGTGTTGCCATGGTTACTAAAAATAGAATTTTCTGTGAAATTCCTTTAAAACGCTACTCCTTCTACAGTTTTGGTCTGATTTCAATATAACTTGGCACACAAGTAGACTACACTAAGATACATAGAAGAGTGCATCGGTTTTTGATTTCGATGAACGGTGTTGCCATGGTTACTAAAAATAGAATTTTCTGTGAAATTCCTTAAAAACGCTACTCCTTCTACAGTTTTGGTCTGATTTCAATATAACTTGGCACACAAGTAGGCTACACTAAGATACATAGAATAGTGCATCAGTTTTTAATTTCGTTGAACGGTGTTGCCATGGTTACTATAAATAGAATTTTCTGTGAAATTCTTTCAAAATGCTACTCCTTCTACAGTTTTAGTCTGATTTCAATATAAGTTGGCACACAAGTAGACTACACTAAGATACATAGAATAGTGCATCGGTTTTTAATTTCAGTGAACGGTGTTACCATGGTAACTAAAAATAGAATTTTCTGTGAAATTCCTTAAAAACGCTACTCCTTCTACAGTTTTGGTCTGATTTCAATATAACTTGGCACACAAGTAGGCTACACTAAGATACATAGAATAGTGCATCAATTTTTAATTTCGTTGAACGGTGTTGCCATGGTTACTATAAATAGAATTTTCTGTGAAATTCCTTAAAAACGCTACTCCTTCTACAGTTTTGGTCTGATTTCAATATAACTTGGCACACAAGTAGACTACACTAAGATACATAGAATAGTGCATCGGTTTTTAATTTCAATGAACGGTGTTACCATGGTTACTAAAAATAGAATTTTCTGTGAAATTCCTTAAAAACGCTACTCCTTCTACAGTTTTGGTCTGATTTCAATATAAATGGCACACAAGTAGACTACACTAAGATACATAGAAAAGTGCATCGGTTTTTAATTTCGATGAACGATGTTGCCATGGTTACTAAAAATAGAATTTTCTGTGAAATTCTTTAAAAACGCTACTCCTTCTACAGTTTTGGTCTGATTTCAGTTTAACTTGGCACACAAGTAGACTACCCTAAGATACATAGAATAGTGCATCGGTTTCTGATTTCGATGAACGGTGTTACCATGGTTACTAAAAATAGAATTTTCTGTGAAATTCCTTAAAAACGCTACTCCTTCTACAGTTCTAGTTTGATTTCAAAATAAGTTGGCACACAAGTAGACTACACAAAGATACATAAAATAGTGCAATGGTTTTTGATAAGTACATACCAGTAGAGCTACAGTCTCGACAGAGACTTCTGGTTTTAATAAATATACACAGTAGATTTATCCAATCGTATGACAGTAAGTAGGCTTATTCAACCATACAATGGAAAACTGATTCATCCAATCATATGGTAGAAAGTAAGCTACATACATATGGTAGTAAGTAGACTTAACCAATCAAATAACAGAAAGTGGCCTTAACTAATCATCTGATCTAAAGCAGCCTTTCCCAACCATGATTAATTTGGCTAAATAAGTATGCAGGCATATCTAATCATTTGATAGTAATTGGGCCAATCCAATCATAGAAAGAAAGCTAATCTGAACGTGTACAGAAAATGGGTTCATCCAACTATCAGATTGTTAATGGGCTAATCCAAAATAGACTGAAAGTTAAAAACATTTTTATACTCTCCTGTTTAAACAGAGTTATTTTGTTTTTTTGTTGCTATAGTTTGACCATTTACAAATTTTAGTAAATGTTTTACCCTTACTAATCACATTAGCTATTATTATAATATGGGGTTCATGATTTTTTTTGTTAAAATTATCTCATTTTATCAGGTTACTTTAATACATGTACATGTACATTAAAATGACTATATATTTCTGCTTCCAGTATTTCTATCAATATTTCATAAAGATTTTAATTGCTGATGAAAAAACCCTTCAATTTTCAATAAAAAAGCAAAGTTCTTAAAGAGGCTTTATATGAGAAAATGCATAACAAACTACTTTACCTAAGTGACTTTCTTTTAAGGAAATGCCAAAAATTACAACAGTGGCACATGGTTTCACAGGTAAGATATTTTCTTGTGACATTTATTGGTTCACTTATATTTTGCATTGCTATCCAATCCTTGAATGAGCAAGCATGATAATTTTTAAATTAAACCAAGTTTACTGGTAACTATATCATTCGTCAAGAGTTGAACCTTTTCCTTGTAAATCTATCTGATTCAGCCTTTACTGAACAAATTAAACAGTATCATGGTCAGGGACAGCTACTCTCTCACTAGTTTGCAGTTATCTCCCTTGCTTTCAAGTAAAAAAAAAAAAACAATATATATAGATTCAACTTTCCTTTAATCTTAAGAAAAAAACATAGAAATTTATGAATTCTTTGTCAGTAATGGTCATCCTATAAGATTTGGTTTGACTTTTAAAAAATTGGGACAAAAAACATCAAGGTACATCATTCTATCTAAATATAAAAACAAAGAAATGCTAGAGGGTTAAGGGTACCATTTCTTTTGTACAAGTTAATTTAAGCCAACACACTTACATCTCATCAAAAATATCTGAAGACTTAAAATAAGTAAAAAATAACCTGTTCTAAACATATGAATTGATTCCTCTCAAGGGGGTTATAAATCTGATTTCTCTTAGTTCAGTCCTAATTTTCTGATTTCAGGGACTGCCACAGCTAAGCTGCAGATCCTTGGTGGATCTTCCATATATGATGAAGACATGAAAAAAGATATACTGGCTGGAGTTAAAGAAAGTATGTCGAAAAGTTCAGGGAACAACTAGAAAGTCAATCAGTATATGTACAGATTTACGAGAATTATTTCGTTCATTGTACAAACAAAGATTTACAAGGCAGTATAATGTTATTCATTGTATATGAAATACAAACATACATTTACAAGTAAATATACGAACATAGATAAATTTACAAGTCTAAATATAAACATTTACAAGCATAATGTCAACCAATATACAAACTTAGACAAACTTAGACTAACAAGTATAATGTTAAACATTTGTAAACTTTGGTATTGCAGATGAGTTGAAGCCGTTCTGTCAGGTGAAACTGGACAGTGAGGTGGTGTACAAGACAAAAGTCCAGAGCACCTCGAGTCCGAGGTTTAACGAAACCGCCAAATTCCAGATTGATGACCCGGACAGTGTTGTGGAAATTGTAAGCTTTATTTCCATTTCTTTATGTTGGAAAAGAGTTTCCTTATTAAAAAATGGACTTTTACCAATTAATATGCTCACATGGCAGCAAGGGCTATCATTTTGTGAGCTTAATACCTAATAGTGGGTTATTTTAGCAGGGTGCTTATTTTGGCAGTTTGAGCCTGCTAAAATTTTAAGTACCAGTCCACATAAAAATCAGACAAAGGGTGGTATATGAGGGTTCTCAGAATTTGATGATGTTTCACTCATAGATTTATTTTGAAGTATGAACAATGTATGTAAAATGAAAAATGTTTTGAGTCATGGTAACCATGGAAACCGGGCCAAAGAAATTTCCTTAGCAACCGGCGGATTTTTCAGTGTTGAAGGACAAAAAATAACCTATCTTTGAGGCTTAAAATAACACGTAAATACCATGAGAATTATTCTTACTTATGGGTGCAATAAAGATACACATTTATTGTGTTCTAATAATGTAATAAAAAATATTTAGGTCTTATGTCAGTTCTGTGGTAGACATTGGAATGTACACATGTTTTACAAGTTTTGCTGATTCAGCATTTTTCGTGATTTTGGCAATATTCAAGGCCAAGTTATAAAAATGGCCAGATTAATACTGTTGTTGCATGTATCTCACATAAAAGCAGAGGTATTTCTCTTTTAGAATTTGAAGTCAAATCCATGGGCTCTTTTGAAAATCGAATCTGTTGCCTAGCAACAAAAATGGGCTTTTTGATGCATAAAATGAGAAACCATGTAAAAAGTTTACGGAAAAATCAAATGAACGGTTATTTATGATAAACGAGATACAAAATTATAAATAATATAATTAAATTCGGTCTCCCTAGCACATTATTGAATATTGCAGAATTATTTATCTCCATAGCAACGACAGGTTCTCCATAGCAACAAGGCAAAAAAAGGTAATTTTGGCGTGTATTCGTGTAATCGTATTAAGACTTATTCAAAATAAGTCAGAAAAATCCGGTGGAGCAAAATTGTCAATGAAATGTGGTTTTATTATTGTTATTTTTTTTTGGTACTTAATCAACCCATATGGCAAGGATTCCGTGTACATGACATACAACCAAAGTTCCTATGTCTCCTGTAAAACAGATTTGACTTTGGGATTGTACTGTTTGTCATGGAATTGGATATTCAAGTAATATGCTGATAATTGCATGGTTATAGTTCGGAAAGACTTTAAAATGTTGTATCAAGTTATTGAATATTGTTCAATGACTTATTTCCATAGCAACAACACCACTCCCCTAGCAACGACTTAAAGAAAGTTTGACGCATATTCATGTTACCTGTAAATCTTTATCTAAATCACGTCATGAAGAAAAAAATGATGTTGAAATGTGTGTTTTTCGAAAGTATTTTTAAACTCATTTAATCCATAACAACTACATGTATTTCTAGCACATGGGATACTCTGTAGTCGTTATTCATAATATTGAAAGATTGGGCACTCGTCATAGATTTCTCAGAAAGTATTACAATGTATGAATTAATTCCTCATGAAAATAAATAGATAAATAAAATGAATAACGTCACTATGGAAACATTTCCAATTATATTTCCAATTGAATAGGAAGATCAAGTTTTAATTATTCTATTGATACTTGTCATAGATTGGAGAGTTATTTTTCCAAACGAAAAGAACCGTTCGCAGTAGCTCAAAGGTAGCACCTACTGCGCCCCATAGTGGGATTCGAACCCGCCACGTAAGGATCAGCTTCTTACTTCATGACTCTAGAGAAGACGTTCTAACCACTGCTCCATGAGGGCGACGCGGCACATTAAAATAAATCAAAATAAGAAAAGTCGGCAGTCAGTTACGGTTATTTACGTAAAATTGAAGTTAACTTTACACCATTTGAAAGAAATATTGCAAGATGTCCAAAGCTAGATCAAATACAAATGAATTTAAAACATGGCTAGTCACACAAGTAGAACTTTATTTTAATTTGTATGTTGTTTGGTGAGATTTGCATTAATGTAGTGCAAACATATTTCAAAAATTATGCAAACGATGGTCAGAGGGTCATCTTCATGTATCCGGTTAGGTCATATCTAAAAATGGAAATATTATGCAAAAAAACAAAACAATTGACATCAAACTCATCCATGTAACACGGGGCCCATGGGCCACATCGCTCACCTGAGCAATGTGGCTAGGAAAAATCAATTCAGTAAATGGCTAAGTGGTCCCGATCCTAAAAGAGGGGGGGTGATTTGAACAAACTTGAATCTATGCATACTTAAATCTACACTAACTAAGGGTGCTTACATATTTTTTGACTAACTGTGGCTTTATTCCAAATAAGTTATGTACTGTTGTGGTCCCTCCCAATCCTGGGGGTCATGATTTTAACAAATCTTTATCTAAACTACCTGAGGATGCTAAGATTTGAACAAGACCAATCAAGATTTTTTATATATTTTTCCTATATATTCCTTTGTAAAACTTTGATCATCCATTGTGGCTATACCCCGGGGGGTCATGATTTGAACAAACTTGAATCAACATTACCTGAGGATGCATTACCAGTCATGGCTTTGCTGTTATTAAGAAGATTTTTCCTATATATTCCTGTGTAAAACGTTGGTCGTCCATTGTGGCCCCACCCTACCACCGGGGGTCATGACTTGAATAAATTTGAATGTACACTACCTTAGGATGCTTCTACACAAGTTTCATCTTTCCTGGCCCAAAGTTTTTACATTAATACCAGTAATTTATATTGATATGGTGGCAAGAAGTATAAAATTCAAGTCCATCTCCCTCCCTTCCCCAAGTAAACTTTTGAGTGCTGAGCTGATTTGTTTTTACCTAGCCCTTGTGCTCAGGTGAGCGATGTTGGAGGTTGCTCCCACTACTTTGATACGCATTGCTATGGGCTTGTTCTCTGGGTAATAGCGTTTGAAGCTCCAGAGCTACAGATTCCTTGTGAACTGAATAAGTGTCAGCTTCCCAACAACAAGTTAAAGATAAAAGCTTATAAATATCTTATCTTTTGAAAAATGGAAATTATCTCAAATGAACACAATATATGCTAGATAAGCATTACCAGAATTAAGGGTTTTATTAAGTGTACACAATTTTGTGTGCTTGCTCATTTCATATTCATGTTTTCTTTCACTGCATTTAATTTCCAGTATTTTGCATAGGATTTACGACATGCTTAAAATTTCAATTTCGACAATTTTATTTCATTTCCGACATTTTTTGTATTTCTTGGATATCTGCAGGATCCCTTTCTGACAATTTTTTTTGCTTACCAAACAGCTGCTGGAAATAAAATTTTAAATAAATTTATTTCATGTTCAAAAAATAAAAACAAACATATTTATGATTCAATACATACTTATACAAGTAGCAATAATACTTATATTAATATCTTTGCCTGAGCTACATGTACAGGCGTCTCTATTATATCGCATATCAGACAGGAAAGGCAAGTCTATATATTGTGTCAATTGTGAGCCCGATTGAATAATTACGATACACCGGACTGATCCCGATTTGAAGTCAAAATAATGCTACGCATCCAGAATTTTTTTTATTTCCGAGTCCAAATAAAAAAAATTATACAGTACTGAGTAGTCCAAATGTTGAACTTTTAATCATATAATTGAAATTAATTAATTGTTTCTACCCTGTTTACTACGCTTGTGCCTTGATTAAAGGTAATGACTGAGTGAACGTACGGGTGAAATTATACAAGCTAATAATTATAGATTGCAAAATTACCGTAATCGTTAGCCATAGAAATTAATTTAACAATGCATAAGCTTTGAAAACACTAATAACAACTACGTGTTTGTAATTGATCCATACGCTCGCATAAGTATAAAGACAGTCTACATCTAATCACCGATGATAATAAAATTTCAGTTTATCCTTATAAATAATTTCAAGAATTATTCACTGTATGTTGAATTCGCGGAATTTCTTTTTCCGCGAATATAGCGAATATTAACTCCGCGAGTTAATTTCCTGCTGTACAGTAATTGTTATGTCTTCGTATTAAAACATTCTAATGTCTTTTGAGAATTCCTTCAACGATGATTGTTTTTTCCTATGGCCATGTAATAAGCGGGGGGTGGGGGGGGGGCTATTATGCGGATACTTAGCTATAGAATACTATTGAAAACTTCACCACAATATACATGTGCCCCTCAATAATGATAATATCTTACGATCTTCTATTTTTTGGTTTGTTTGACAAGGAATTTTCGGTTGTTGATAGTGCCCAAACTGAAAATATATGGTTGTAACCCCCACCCCCGAAATTGCTTACTAAGGGTCTGTATTTACCAGAAGTGGTTTCTGTATGCCTATTAATATCTGAGTTCAAACTTAAAACTGCACTTTAAAAGGGAGATGTGCCTCTGAGAATTTCAGGTCACCTGAGTCTTTCAGGTGACCTATTGCTATCTCTGTTCGTTCGTCGTCGTACGTCATTCGTACTTCTTTAGCTTCTTCTCTGGAACCACTGAACCAATTCAAATTTGAAAAAACCCATCTATGGGTAAAAGAGGAACACACAATTGTGAATTTCAGGGTCCCTGGGGCCTGAAGGGTGGGACCAAAACCACTAAGATTAATGCAGTCCTAAAAAATCTTCTTTAATTCTAGATATCAAGCAATGAAACTGTTGGAATGATTGTAATAAGCATTGAGTCTTCTACACTGTACCAAAAATAGTAAAATTCTTTACCCCAGGGTCAGGGGTTCTATACGCTAGGGCTGGGCTAAATAGATTATATAGTGAAAATACATTATTTCTTTGAAAATCTTCTTCTCTGCTCCTGGGTAAAATTAATTAAGGACATAGTTACGATGAGAAAGAATTCCTGTTCTACAGTAGCGAATTTCATGGCCTTTGGACACGGGTTCTGGTGTTAGGACGGGGCTTAAATTAAATGATTATATAGTTAACCTGCATTAATTCTTTGAAAAATACATAGTTATGATGAGGAAGGGTG